GCTGTAGTACAAGTACTTTTATCCAGATTTTTGAAAATCATAAAATCGCGTTGTGTGTGATGGGCACAGACTCAGATTTATTCTTCAGTGTTTGATTTCGTCCATTGGGAGGATATCAAACATGGTTTTAGAACACATATTTTCTTCATTTGTCACGCGTCTCCTTGCAATGAAACGCATGTTCCTGTGTAAAAGTGTATGATACCTAGGCTCTGTTTACACCTGGTATTAAGATGCCAGGTCGATCGGATCACAAGTAGACGAGGGAGACATTCCCGTTTTCACCTGTGTTTTAATCCATTTCTTTTGCCCACTTTCAACCACTTCTGTCCTGATTTCTTCAGGGGAGGGTCTATGGATGGGTACTGTAAATCTATGGGTTTTTATTGTGATTGGAATGTTTTTCGTCTTCAAACCAAACTTGGGTCTTCAGCTTACTGTTTAAATCCCGTCTGGCTATCGTCCTTCCCAGAATGGTTACGCGTTAGGTCAGTAAGCGGAGAATAGGCGTCTTTTTCGTATTCGAATCGGTATACACTACGAAAGCAATCCAGTTGAATGCATTTTAGTAGCCTGGCTAACGCCAGACCACGTATCATTGAGAATGAGACGTGGTCTGGAAACCACCTGTAAATTTTCTCGTATTTAAGGCGTGGTTTACGAATGCCCAGAGCTGTATTATTGGGTGCTACGAATGTCTATTAAATGCGCCTGTGCTCCCCCCCCGTTCTGTGATTGGTTCCCTATTTCAGGGGAAAATTTGGTTCATGGTATCCAGACTGCCTAGCAGCGCGAATAAAATCGCGCCGCGGCCAGGCAGAATGGGGAAACCCAGGCTAGCGTTTTAGAGTACCAGTGGAAATGGTCGAAAGTGGACACGTTAAGCTCACAACGTTACACTTGTATTTAGCAGCGCCCACTTGTGATCCGATCGACCAAATCGCATCTTAACCAGGTGTAAACCAGCCCTAGTTTAATTTTTTAAAGGGGTGATGAACTGAGAAATCAAATTTTCCTTGAGCTTTTGACATCTAACACCGTGTCCTAACTACACGCGACGCGATAAAATTCCAGCGACAGCAAGTGTGTCTGTCCACACTAGACGCGACGCGACACATTCAGAACAGCGTGGTAGCATAGTCTCTCTGTGAAAGTGCACTGCTGTCCCGCACTCGTGTTGGGTAAGGACATAATCAAATCAAGAAATAACATTATTAAAAATCAAAACATTAACAAAATATACTCATTGACTAGTTTTGTTATGAAGTACAGTTGTATGTTTGTATAGAATTCATTTTGAACGCTATATTATATGCTTTCAAAATCTGAGGTAAATTATCCGTTATCGCTTGTGGCACAGTGACCTATTTTTAACTAAAAATAAATAATCTATACTCATAACCAGTGTAATTTCTTCATTCTGTCAGCCACGGCGTCGCAGAAATAGGAACCGTTTCTAAATTAGAAACTTTGCGTGTCGCCGTCGCATCTGGTTAGGACAAAAACTCTGATTAACATGGAAAAAATACCTTTTATCGCGTGTCGCGGGCGTCGCGTCGCGTGTAGTTAGGACACGGTGTAAGAGGTCATCATATTATAAGAATATCCTGTAAGTTTCAGAACTGAAAACGTCCTTGTTAGTCCAATAATAGCTTTTATTGACACCAGGCTCAGCAAACGACTCGTTTTTCAAAGTGGGAAACTGATGACAAAGAAGATAAAACCCCACCCCCGCAGAAGTAGATCAACGCCTACTTCAACACGCCCAGTTTAGCCCCGCCCACCGATTCTCACATTACACGCATAGCTAAGTAACATAGATGCCTACCTCGTGATGACAAACCGGATCAAGCTACCGAGCAATACAGAATATTGTGCAGTGCCTGTTTGTGGAAGAAGACAGTCGCTGCATAAGCTTCCTCTGGATTTCAATAGGACTGCACGGATAAACTTTATTTTTAATGACGTTCCAGCTGATGAGGGTAAAACATCGTTGTCTGTTCGCTTCATTTCACTGAGGATTGTTTTGTAAACAAGAATGGATTTGCAGACCGATTAAGAGTAAAGAACGGTGCTGTGCCGTCTATATTGGATCCGACAGGAATGGTGCAACACACGGACTCTGGGTCGAACATGTATGGGCGAATCATTCCGGTTGCCATTTTACAACATTGGACGTTTTCAAAACAATTTCCCTCAAGTGCATCGACGGGTGAGTCGAAACTCATTATAATATGCAAAACTGTTATCCACTCACATCAGTGGGCGTTTACTTCCAAGTCTTCAGTGCGAGTTGTCCATAAAAACCCAGCGTTTTTAAGCTAGGCTCAAAACTAGGGTAGAAAATAGCCTAATACTTATTCAATTTGATGTTTTTGAATGCAAAAACCAAGCGAACGTCATAAGTTGACCTCAGACAACAATATAATAAAATTTAAAAAGCCAGTTCATGACCCCTTTAACCATTTACAAAGTCGGCTCATACTGTATATGATGCCTAGTGTTTTGAAATCTGCTCAGATTTTAAGTGTATTCAAGTCACCAACTCAAAAAATTATAGGTTAAGAAAATCCAGAGTTTCCTACTGATAATTATGGTGGTGTACAGTGTTGGGAGTAACGCATTACAAAAGTAATACATTACAGTAACATATTACTTTTTGCTGTAACGCAGTAGTGTAAGGCATTACTAATCAATTTTCAGTAATATTTTACTCTTTACATGTTCAGTGAGGCTTGTATTACAGTTGTATTACAGTGTATTGTCTGCTTTTACTTCTTAAAGGCAACAGACTATGTGAAAGTTTTAAAGCAGTCTTTTAGTGCCAGTTCAGAGCGGTCGCGTCTGTAACATTGTTTTTTCCTCATAAATGCGAACACGAAAACTAAAAATAAAATGAATATTTTAAGTTCTATGGAGACTGGAGAGCAACCCTTCCTCATCCGATTTGCAC